AGAAGTTCATATTATTAATTCTTTTACTTCGTATGGCGATGAATAATGAATCTAGATCTCAAAGACATATAATTGTGATAGCTGAATGCAAGAGAAAGAAATTAAACTATCTTTTTTTTTGTGTTCGTGTAGAATGTAAGAAAATGACAGGATTGAAAGCGTTAAACTCTGAATATATCGATTTTGCATTCATGTGTAAACGTGCAAAGTCTTTCATTATATACATTATTTCATTTTTATTGTACTAAAAATGAAAGAATTGGAAGTATGATAATAATATTTAGAAGTGTTGATAAATACTCTTATATCGATTTTAAGATTCGAGAAGTTTAAGCTCGATATTATTTTTTCCAATAACTTGTATTATACAACAGAATGAAATCTCATCAGCACACTTGTGTTTTGTAACATAATAATTTGAAACATGATCTAAGTCACATGAAAATATGTTAAATACTGGTATTTAACATGTGTATATGTGTGTCTTATTCATGTCTGAGCATGTAGAAATACGAACATCTGATTAGTATTATCTCTAGTGTGTGAATTCTAAATATCTTGTCTCACAAGAATTGGTTTCGTATTAGTTTACAATCCATAGTATCTTATTTTTACAAATGACGCCATTTAACTTATGAGAAAAAAAAATGATCTCGTAATTCTTAAAAAGATAATATGTGCGGGAACGTAGAATAGTTGTTGTAAGCTTTGTCTGAGAAAAGACTATTTTTACAATATTATCTCAGCTAAATTAAGTGGAAAAGGCTGATTGTGCTTTTTATTCTTAAGATTCTTCGTTAACAATAGTTTTCTAAGAATATATTTTTGAGTAGAGCTATTTTAGATTTTTATTACATATGCAAATTTTCTTCTGAATACAAAGGTTTAGCCCATTTTTAGCGTTCAGCACTGTCTGTTTATTCAGCAATAATTGCAAGTTGTGCTATAGACCATTCAGTGCCGACTTTAATGGACTACATTATTATAAAAAGCATCAACTTTCATGTTAAAATTTTAATTGCATATTAATTACGTATTTATAATGAATAATTCAAATTTCTAAGACAAACATTTCGCTTTAATTTTTAACTTCCGCTTATAGCATAAGAGAGAATATCAAAAATAAAACAAAACGGTGTAATTATTGCTCTGACACGGATGATCTTATTGAGATTTTTGAGAGTGTTTATCAGTTTTGAATACATATTCTGTTTATTATTTTAAAATAAATTCAACTATGAAATGAAACTTTATGTTTGAAACAAGCTGATATGTTTTGAAGAGTAGAATTTCCTTTTTCAAATAAGGTCTCGCGACTCTCTTTGTAATATACTATGCGCATGTCATAGAGTTTTAAGTTCTAAGAAATAATTAGAGTCATATTCTACGCTATTTTTTTGCTATGGAGCTTTCCATGATTTCAATCCCTTGTAACATTTTAATAGTATAATGTAAAGAGAGCAGCAAGACCTTATTTGAAAGAGTAAATTATGCTCCTCAAAACATGCCAACGTTTTTTTTTCAATTTAAAGTTTCATTGCATAATTGAATTTTTCAAAAGTGATAAACACTCTCAATAGTCTTAGTAAGATGATTCATATCGGAAGAATAACTGCACAATGTTGTTTATTTTTGATATTCTCTCTTATATTGTAACTAGAAGTTAAAAATTAAAGGGAAATGTTTCCCTAGAAATTTGAATTATTTTGTTATAAATACGTAATTAATATGCATCGAGAATTTTAATATGTGACTTGATGCTTTTTACCAAAATATACTTCGCTAAATTCTATACTGAATGGTATATAACACAGTTTTGCAATTATTGTTGAATAGATAAAAAAAAAAAATTCACTGAATACTAAAACTGTGTTCAACTTTTTTCTTCTGGAGAAAACTTGTTGATGTAATAAAAACCAAAATAGCTCGATTAAAAAAATACTTTCTAATCCAAGTTTCCTAAGTCACGCTGAGAACTACGAACATCATTATTAGAATGTTCTCAGTAAACTCTTCGTGACGAAGAATTTTAAAAATAATAAGTGTGATAAATGTTTTCTCATCTATCTTACAGTCAGAATCGTTCGGATTATTTTTCATATGGTAATTTGTATTATAGTAGATATGATCTATATTCTGCTGTTTTCATGAGATCTATTGAATTTCCAATCGTTAGATTAATGAAACTAAAAACCAAGCTATTAAAAATATTAATGAAATAACAAAAAAACTCAAGAAATGTTCTGAATCAATGATTATATATGTCCTTAGTAGTTTCATTATTAAGACAGATAATAATGATGAAAACTCGGTCAGACAAGTAATTAATGCACAAACATTTAATTAATAATAGTGGCTGGTTTCTTTGAAAAATTGTTCTTGATAGTATACGCTTCATTTTAGTAACTTATAATATTGTTTGTCTCTTGTTTGAACGACAGTTACATACTATTTAAAGAACAATTTTCATTTCTTGTTACTTCTTAAGATCGTCTTCTACTTGCAACCAATCAAACTAGTCTACCATGTATTGTAGTATGTTTCATTTTTGTTTTTTGAAAAAAAATCTTGAATAGAATCAATATGATGCATGAATTATACTTATTCAAGTCTAAAAATTGACTTATGGGATTGAAGGACTACATTTTGTTATTAATTATTTGCAAATACTGAATATATATATATGTCGAGTTGAATGAAAAACCACTTGAAAATCGTCGTCACTGTTGTTTTCAATGTTTTTATTTTTCTTTCTTTTTTATTCCAATAAATTTTTATGCTCATATTCATAAATTTGAATAACTGTTGGTAATTTTTGGACAATTAAAGTCTTATATCATCAATTATATTTTCGAGAACGAAAACATTTGTTATAAAATAAAATGAATCATTTTTCGTCTTTTATGCTTTCAGTTCGTATGTATTCGACTATATCCGTTTAAAATTCATAAAATTATATGCTATCCAGTGTAATACCTGGTTTATTTTATATACTTAAAACTTGTCGCATTAATAAATCATAATATTAATTATTCACATGTTAATATTATTCTTAATCTTACTCTTTTATAGTCGAGATATCCATTGAGTCAAGTAAATTAAAATTAAATGAAATACATATTAACTCTATCTTATGCTATGGCTCTTATATGACCATATGATAAAAATTTACTTTTCTTACACTATAAGACATTTAGAAACAGATTTTATATCAACTTGAAACCTATATATTATGGACTTCGTATCAACAATCTGAGTCTAATCTCGGTTATAAAAATAACTTTTCGGGTGTAAGGTTGGTGTGTATGATTCGATTGGATGGATTGGTGGACATTGTGTTCAGTCAAACCTGCACTTCACTCTAGTAAATATATTGAGCTAAGAATACTCTGCTAATGGTATGTCATAAGAAACAGCATGTTTTACGGGTCTTTAACACTCGACTAAAAACTGCCGTTAAATGTTCAATTTACTAACTTGATGAAAAATTTTTCATAGAATTCTATAGAAACTGAACAGATACCTGGAAAGGTATCCTGCTGACAACTGACTCAGTACACGAGTACCTTGACTTCACTATATTCACTAGAATTAGGTATTATACTATGATTTTGAGCTTTTGTATCACAAGTAAAATATAAGCACTGGTTAGTTCGTAACTTTTATATTCACTGATTGAATTACTCGATATTATCTAAGTGTTTGTTTTTAATTCTATGATTAAAATAAACGAGATCATCTTTCAACAACAACCACTGATATACATTCTAAGCAGCTTATAGAAAAAAAAGCAAATGCTATTCAATATTGACTAGAGAATTTGGTCACAATATTTAACAAGAGGAATATTGATTTAGAAAAATCGCTCCAAAATTTATCTTTACTTGTGGCTAACGATTATGAATTTAACAAATGATGACTAATAATCTACTTTGTTTTCTTATTTCTCTATCTCTTATAGCGGTTTCAGAAGATCCACTGATAAAATAACTTTATAAATAGAGTATTAACCTGTCTAATATGTTAATGATGTGGTCTGATTTGCCGAATGTCTATATCTTTATGTAGGACTGTTTTATAAGTACAATGGCCATGTGATGAAGTAAGGGGATTGAACGACATACTAAACATTGACCTTTTTTTCTTTGACCAAATTAGTGAGCTGTTTAAAAAAGGATTTAGTAAATCGACAAAAATTATTGTCAAAACAATACATCTGTTTCTGAAGCATCTTGTTAAAAAAAAACATTTCTTTTGCTTTGAGCCAGTTGGCAACCTCTGGAGATATTTAATTCATAATAAGTATTCTTTCAACTTCTCATGAGTTGAGATTTATAACACAGATTAACATTATTCTTACTTGCCCAATGATCACTCTATAGTGACTTGCATGCCTTAGCATATGTGATTCGTCAAGCTATCGTGAAACTTTCAAAACATATCTAACTCATTAATGAGTATCTTCATTGATTTATATCATATAGAAAGTCCAAAAGATCTCTATTGAGTGTAAGTAGAGAACGAATTGTTTAGAAAACAATCAAATTTTTCCATTTTTTCAAAACTATCGATTTTGTAGAACTGAAATTTTGAAAGCGAAGCGAGGAAAAAAGTCTTTTTACTGACTAAAAGCGCATGAAATTCAATAAAGAAATGTTCTCATCATTTTCAAATCCTATGCTTCCTTTATTTTCTGCAATCGTTCTACAAATGGTCACTGAAGTGACCAACGGAGGGTAAAGAATTAATCAAAATAAATAAATTCAATATATTTTCTTGGTTCTCTTCTTTTATTATTGAGGTTTTTTTTTCGTATCGTGAAAATTAATGTTTGAACAAGAAGTTCATAAAAAAAGAATTGATGATTTTATTTTTGAATTTTGAAATTATGCACACTAAATTCAATGAAAATAAATACAGTCTAAAAGGATACAATTATTAAATAAATAATGTACAAGAAATAAAATCAAAGTAAGTTTTATTTTTGCTTGGCTACTTGTCTATAAATAATAATATTTGTAACCAATCTTATCAAAAAAGTCGCAATCGTCTTTTAAATAATTTTCTTCTACTTGCAATGGATTTTGAAAATACATGTATTGCTCACTACCTATTGATGTTTTTGGCCATAATAATGATGGTGTTACCGGTTGATTAGGATCATGTGTTTTACCAAAATTAGTCCAATAAGTTACTAAATTTGTTGCTAATTTTCGTCCTGCATCAGTAAAATTAACCCAAGCTGATTCAAATACATATGGTAATTCACTACCATGACAGACATGACCAACACAAAATGTTAAATTATCCCAACCGTCAAAATCGAGCGGATATCCAAATACATATGTATATGTAGCTGCTTTGCGAGCAAATACACGAGTTGAACAAGCAAATACCCAACGAGTACCAATACTAGCCAGACGTAGACGTTGATCGCCAGTTCCTTGAGGTGGAAAACGTTCGAGAACTTTCAAAGCATGTCGATTAAATGTAGCAACAAGAATTTCTGCATACTGCTCAGGATAGACTGGCTTGTGCCAACCCTCGTAAATATAAAGTACAGCTTCTTCAGTTAACGTACCAATAACAAGTGGTTTTAATGGAAATGATATATTTTGAATCATATCAATAACTTGTCCTTGTACAATTGAATTGTCAATAACAGGTACCCATGGTTCAAAAAATAACAAAATTTCTAATGATGTTAACATTGTATTGACAATTTTTTGAGCATCAACTATTTGCTGATATGAAGCTGCGCGAAAACAGGAAATATTCGTGTAACTACAATGGAGCTGTTCGCCAAGGAGTACTCCAGGTGTGATATATTCGGCATAGGTTCTATATATATATTTGATAATATTGAATGATGTCTAATAGAAAAACAAAATTTTTACCTAAAAGGTATTGACATTGGAGCACTTTGAATAATGGCAGCTTGAAAAAATGATTGCATTTCAGGAGTAATATAATGTAAAGCTGTCGATTGAGCTCCAGCACTTTCTCCATACATAGTTATCTATCAAAATCGTAGCAAAATTATATTAAGATTATTTTTAATAAATAATGTCGCTATTCGTGCACATCATAATGAGTCATCCTAAATATCCAGAAAGCTACACAATTTTTTCCTTATTGATAAATCACTAACTTAGATTCGTAACATTGGCAACAGTGTTTTTCTATTGTACTTTCCAACATTGAGATTATTCTTATGAGAAATACGCCTATGGCATTAAGTTGTTGGAAAATTTTTAGTTTTGTTTTTAAAATCCTGTCAAAATCACATAACAAAATTGTGTACTTTTCAGTACATAAATTTGTATTGAGTCTAAATCACTTTGCTGTTTGTTTTCATTTATCACTAAATAGAAACTACTCTTCTAAACTCAAATTTCTTTTTTTAAAGTATATACTCTGCCACATTTCATCTGTACGCATTATAAATACTTAACAACTTAAGACTTCTCATAAAGAAAAAATTCTGCATAGAATCACGGAAAATAAGTTAATAAATTTAAAACCTGATTTGGATTTCCACCGAATGCTTTGATGTTGGCTTTGACCCATGCAATTGCTATGCGTTGATCGAGAATACCATAGTTGCCATTTATATCATTCGGTCCAGGTCCAGTTGCATAAAAACCAAGTACACCTTTTTAACAGTATTTTTTTTTATATGAATATACATCTTTATATATATATATATATATAATGTTAAAAGATTCTACTCACCAAGTCGATATTGAATAAGCACACATATAACATTCGTCTGATTAACAAAATGTTGAGGTTCATAGACTGGTATTGATGCATCCAAAAATTGAAAGTTTCCACCCGCTATATAAAGCATGACGGGTAATAGAGAAGAATCATTTGATAAGGGTGTGAATACATTCAAATATAAACAATCTTCAGACATCTATACATACAAAGAAGTCTTCCGAGAACTCATTGATTGTGATACTTACAATTTTCGGACATAATATAGATGGTAAACTACATGGAGGTTGAGGACAAGCAGGAGCTGGTTGTGTAGCATTAATCAGTCGAGGTGCCCACTTAGGAATGGGCACCGGGCGTTTCCATCTAAAGATATAATAGAATAACAAGAGCAAAACGAAATAAAATTCTTTGAAGTAATACCTCAGTGTATCAATAGGTGGCTGAGCATAAGGAATGCCATAAAAAACACGAGCTAAATCCGTTTCATAACCTTCTACATCACCATAGTTTGTATGCACAATTACGGGCGTATAGGCATTTACGATCGATTGACAATAAATTAAAATAATACAAAAAATAAAAAGCATCACTTTAATTTTTTAAATTGTTGTTTTTTGCCGCAACTGTTTACTTTGAATCCCTAAGAATTAAATATATTTTTTGATAAGAAAATAAGAAGACACAAGTAATATATGTTACCTTTTATCAGTAAAAACAACTAGAACATATATGATATGTAAAGACTCTTTTTTTGGGAGTGGTTTTACATTTATTACTATTGCACACCCTACCGCATATGACTTCTCAAAAAGTGGTGAATTAAGATTTCGTTATTTCATCTCAACAATACTTTCGTCAATCGCAAGTTGTCATAGTAGAATGATCATCGTTGAAAATTAATTATGACATAAAAATCGAAACTTTATGTTTCAAATATAGTTTGTTTGTGTTCGATATGTTTTTCTTTCAGATAGACTAATGTTTTGTCAATGAAGATGCTATCATCTAAAAACTATTCAAATATTGATACTAACTCACCATCTATACCATATATGAATAATGTAATCAACTGACAATCCATAGCGTTAAATACAAAGCATGAAATTTCGTAGAACTCTTGTATTATTTAATTTGATTGTCTGCAAATGATTTGCAACACTTCCTTCTTCTATACAAAATAAGCTCGAATATGAAGTAGAAAAAGCAGCAATGAGAATGCGAAGTATGGCAATGATTGTTGAAATATCGTGCATCAATAAAAGATTTCAATTTTCATTAAAAGGGTGTAGGTGTGGGTGTGGGTGGAATAAGCGAAAAATTCCTGCTTGCATTCACATTCAGCACAGTTTGTTGAATAATTTTTGTTTATTAAGAACAAAAATTATTTTCTTCCTTTTTTTTTGTTTCACGTAATACCAGTAGAAATAAATTGTAATATCTAAGATATTTCATTGATTACTATAAAAATTTCCATTATTAGGTGATCTAATATCAGAAAGAACATCCTCACTTATTCGTTCATTTTATATTCTAGGATGATATAGATCCACATTTATTCTCAGTTCTACATTCAGAAGTAGTAGCACGAAAAATACGTATATTTTAATGAAGCATTCTTCTTCTAACTATACATGTCTTGCTGTTTTTCATATTTCATTTAAATAGTAGGACAGAACTGAAAATTGTCAAATCTATATTTTGTTCTTTTTTTCTTTAGGATACGATTAGATTTGACATTCTTTTTCCATTTCTCTTATTGTAAAGTTATTTTCTTTTTTTCTGTAACAATAGAAGGTCAAAAGTACTCACAGTTGACAGAAACATAACTTTAATTCTGCTTTTTTCCAAGTTGAAAAATTTAAATTGGTTCATATCATTCTGTTCATAATGAAATTTGAATTTATCTGATGCTCTTACGATCAACTACAATTCGACAACAGCTATCAATCATTAATTTAATGCCAGAGGTGTTACCGCGACGGCGTCAGTGCCAACAGCAGCTTTTTTTCTATAAGAAGTGCTATAAAATTGCATGAATTTTCTTTAGATTTGGGTATTTAAAAGTCCAACAGTCAAAATCTGAGTGAATCTGATGGATTCACTCTAACTGTGCTAATTTAGTATAGTGATGGCAGAGATTTTCGGAGAATCATTGCGGCAGCGGCAAAGCAGTGGTATAGTTTCAGTCACGATGGAGATCTCTGTTCGGTGCGAATCATATAATAGTAGATATCAAATAACGAAAAACTAACTGTAGATTCATAAAATTTCTGAATTGAGGTAGTTATAAAAATCATTATGAAGCAAGATACAATTCAAATTTGTTTTGTACAATTTTGTGAAAATTTCAATTTTTTAACAATGCTATATCACATGTGAACATTTTTTTTATAGTATCACTCTGAAAAAGAATCAACGTGTTCATAATGAAAGTCTATACGTGTTTTAATCCGTTCGAGAATAAATTTTATATGAGGTTGTACTATCATGACTCATGATACTTATTATTAGAGGTATTACACGTATTTTCACTTCTATAACTTGATATATAATGCTCCACTAAGAATAGTTGGAGAATAAAAGATCAATTATTAAGACATAGTTTTACTTGAAAAATGCTTCTTAAACTATCATGTTCACCTATTATAAAAAGTCTTCCATCTCCACAAATTCTTTTTGAAATGTAGTCGGTGAACTTATGCATATATATATATATTTCTTAATGCTTCATTTAGTTTTTTTCTCATGTTATTCATAGATCTTTGAATTGTGTCTTCCATTTATCAAGCGAAATATTTGAAGAAAACAATGTAACACACAAGTATCAACCAAACATGAGTGTCGAAGAGAACTGAAAATAGAAAACGAAATCACGAAATACAACAAAAAAAGAGAAAGAAAACAAATTTTCCAGTGGCATGAATAATGAATTTTAAATCAACTGTGTTTTTACTTTCCATGTCTTTTATCAACTATTGTTATAATCGAACGAAGTTATTTATAGTAAAGTAATTGCTAACATAATAAAGAAAAAAATTCGATATATTACATAGTGATTATTTCACATTCATGTTTTTTTTGCTCTAAAATATTTGTAAAATCAAAGGATATTGACCAATAATCACCTATTTATTGTAAATCATTTCATGAAAATATAAACATAAAAAAGAGTTAGAAGAATGAAATAATCTGATGATTGGAAAAAAGAGTGTTGCAACTTTTACTTCTACTCATTGCTAAAACGCAAAAGATGCAACAAGATTGTTTGCTTTGTTTTTTCATTATTACATATCTTGTTCGTTTTCACAGTGACAATCTTAATGATGATAAAATACCTTAACTGATACTACTGCGTTTTGGTATAAGATACCTGGCTATATTGAAGTAAATAAAAGAAAGAAAAAAAGAGTTTGAAACAACATCATATGTCACGTTTATCTGGTTCGTCCAATTTATTTAGAACGCAATCTTCGAGATAGAAAAATTAGTTTATTATCTCGGTGCAGTTTGAAACAATTTAGTTG